TCAGATGTTTACTTTATTATAGGTACTTCCTATGATGATCTGTGAGGACATGCATTTTCTTATCCTGCAATAGGAATTGTATGCAGACTATAATTGCAAAAAAAAAAAAAAAAAAAAAAAAAAGAGAATAAAAACATTAAAACACAACTGAAAGACACAAAAGTAGTCTCAAACAAACGTAGATATCCCCTATTCATAGAATGTTTCAAGATTTTAAAGATGCAGTTCTCCTTAACTTATAAAATAATGTAATCTCAATAAACATACCAATGAAAATTTTTATTAGCTAGACAAGTTGCTACTAATATTCATGACGAGCAATAAATATACATGAATAGCTGGGAACATACTGAAAAAAAAGAAAAACTACAAGTAAGTTTAGCCCTAATAATCATTAAAATACACTATAAAACCTGTAATAAACAATGCCATACTAGGATATACATATACTAAACCATTAGTATAGCATATACAATGAGAAACAGATACCTATATATATAAATTTAGTATATTATAAAGAAGGCATTTCAAATCACTAAGGAAAAGATAAATTTTTAAATACACAGTGATGGTAAAACTGAGTTTCCATTTGAAAAAGGATAAAATTAGATCCACATCTCACAAAATAACAGGAATAAACAACTACATGAATGAGCTAAATGTAAAAATAAAATCATGCAAGGATTAGAAGGCAACATGAGTGAATTCCTCATGTTGCCTTCTAATGGTACAGGCATACCTCAGAGATACCGTAAGTTCAGTTACCTCCCACTGTAATAAAATGAGTCAAATTATTTTTTAATTTTTTAACTTTTAATTTTTGTGGGTACAGAGTAGGCATACAGTCAAATTATGAGGTTACTCAGTGCATATAAAAAATATGTTTACACTATACTATAGTCTATGAACTTGTCAACTGGCATTGTCTAAAAAATAATGTACATACCTTAATTTAAAAATAATTTATTGTTACAAAATGCTAACAACCATCTGAGCCTTCAGTGAGTCAAAACTTTTTGCTGTCATGATGACGGCTGCTGACTGCCCAGGGGAACAAGGGTTTGTTTTAGATGATGGAAATTTTCGATATCATGATTGTGTTATAAGTTTATATTATAATATTCCATGGTTGAGGCTCAGCAAATTATGCATTCAACCAGTAAATTTTGTTATATATAAATTATACTTCAATAATGCTAACAAAAAAGAATTCCAGCTGTAAATAAAATATTTTTAAAGTGTTGGGTTACAATCCTATTAAAAGAACGCAGAGAAGAGACACCGAATCAAATTATGTATGTTCTTACCAGATTAATTAACTGAGTGTGTACCACATCTTCTACCAAAACTGCTGTTTCATGAAGAGGCCTTCTAGCATCACCTAAAGAATACCTGCAAAATAATTTTAAACACACCAATATTAAGGACTATAAAACTAAGAATGGCAAAAAGTGAAAGATATTTATTACATGAATCAGTTTAATAAGGAGAATATAAATTGTTTGCTCAAATGTCTGAATGGTTGTGCAATTTTCTCTAGACAAAGAATATAAAACCTTGGCCAGGCGTGGTGGCTCACACCTTTAATCTCAGCACTTTGGGAGGCCAGAGCGGGAGGATCACTTGAGCCCAAGAGTTGGTTACTAGCCTGCATAACATGGTGAAACTCCGCCTCTACAATAAATACAAAAATTAGCCAGAAGCAGTGGCAGGTGCCTGTAGTCCCAGCTACTTGGGAGGTTGAGGTGGGAGGATGGCTTGAGCCCAGGCGGCAGAAGTTGTAGTAAGCCAAGGTCATGCCACTGTACTCCATCATGGGCCACAGTCAGACCCTGCTTAAAAAGAAAAAAAAGAAAAAAAGAAAAGAAAGTCTTTCCTACACAAGTTGCAACTTCAAAAGAAAAGTGCAGTGTTATCTATGCTATTTCTGGATTTGTACAGTTTTTTTTTTTTTTTTAAGACAGAGTCTCACCCCGTTGCCCAGGCTGGAGTGCAGTGGCACGATCTCGGCTCACTGCAACCTTCGCCTCCCGGGTTCAAGCAATTCTCCTACCACGGCTTTTTGAGTAGCTGGGACTACAGACTCGTGTCACCACGCCTGGCTACTTTTTTATTTTTAGTAGATACGGGGTTTCACCATGTCGGCCAGGCTGGTCTTGAACTCCTGACCTCAGGTGATCCACCCACCTCGGCCTCCTAAAGTCCTGGGATTACAGGCGTGAGTCACCGTGCCCGGCTCGTACAGTATTTTTTAAGGAGAATTTATTGTTTCAAAATGCAAAATACTAACAACTACTTCACAACACTGGCAACCAGTAAATCATGTAATCACATCCCAATTACCAATACAAGAGCTAGTAAGAGCCACATAGAAAGGTATAAAAGTGTATGATGTAATCAGCTTTGAAAATTGATAAGAAAAATTTATGTAAATACCATTGAATAAGCAGATTTTCAAGAATGGATTAAAAAGGCTGGCCTTAAAAGTCCTCTTCTTAAAACTTAAAAGTAGATTGGATGTGCAAAGAATACCTTCTTGGTAAAGAACACTTCAAAATGCACCATAATATATTAAAAATTTATATTTAGAGTATGCGTCAACCAGCAATAGGGAAGACAAAACCAAAGTCAGACAAGATGAAAAAACAGTTCTATAATAGAGCACTGAACCTTCAAAATTTATTCTGAAGGTATCTACCTAATCACAGTAACCTACAGTCTATATTGAACTAGTACAGAATTCAAGGTATAGGAAGAACGTGGGGACCACAAGAAAGGCAGGAAATCAGTTTGAGACTCCAATATAATATTGAGAAACCTAACATCCAGTGACGGTGTCACCCTCAATGTGTGAACTAGGAAAATACCCATTCCAGAGAATGCACTTTGCCTACCTCACCCGAAGCTTTGAGTGGCAGAGGAAAAAATATTCCCTAGGAATTGTTAACCATAAATTCACTTCCATGGTGCCAGAGTATCTGCTGGCCATATAGTCTTAAAAAAAGGTCAAGCATTAATTTAAAGTGATTTATATTGATGGTGCCCACAGGTACCTTGTAGAAACAAATGCAACTCATTTCTTGAAGAACGTATTTCAAACAAATAACTGAAAGAACTCCCATGGATGACATATCAAGGACCATAAATTCAAAATCAAAATTCACTACGTGTACCAGGAATCAAGTCATCATGAAAGACAGGGAGCAGGACCAACAAAACGCAGAATCAGACCTACAGCCTACACCTACCTGAATAAATAAGTATCTATTAACTAGAGTAATTCAGGTTTTAAAAGAGAAATGAGAAGTATATGTAGGACAACAAAAACCTTACCAAATGCTTAGTCATTTTTGAAAAAGCACTAAACAGAAATAGAAATGAAAAACATAATAATAGCATTTAAAAAGTTAATGCGGAAAAGTTATCAATCTGATAAAGACCATACATGAAAAACTCACAGCTACCATCCGACTTAATGGTGAAACACTAAAAACTTTTCCCCTAAGATGAGCATTAACACAATGTCCAATTTTGTCACTTCTATTCAACACAATACTGTAAATTTCAGTGAAAGCAATTAGGTAAGAAAAAGAAATAGGCCGGGTGCAGTGGCTCACACCTGTAATCCTAGCACTTTGGGAGGCCGAGGCTGGCGGATTGCATGAGTTCAGGAGTTCAAGACCAGCCTGGGCAACACAGTGAAACTCTGTTTCTACTAAAATACAAAAGAAATTAGCCGGGCATGATGGAGTGCACCTGTAGTCAAGGACTGTAATTGTCATGATTAGTTCCTCCTTGTTTTGATATGTGTGTGTATATGTGCATGCATGTGCGTGTATCTTATATGTATGTGTGTATCTCCTTTACAAAATTCTACTGATTGTATTTTTTTTCTGGAGAACTTTGACTAACATAGCCAGGAAATGAAGAGCTCAATATTGAATAAATGTATTAATATAACTATATCACTTTAGAAAATGAAAAAAAACCCTACATAATCATTTCAGTAGATGTAAGAAAACCACTCAACAAAATCCAGCAACCACTCATGACAGGAAACCACATACACAGAAGAATTTAAAGCCTTTAAGAACTAAATCAACATAAGGATGGCTATTATCACCACTTTCAGTCAATATTTAAGATTATAGTCAGAACAATAAAACAAGAAAAACTATAAAAGTATTGGAAAAGAGAAAACTACACTGTCCCTATATGCAGATAATATGAGTATCTACCCAGAAAACCAAAAATTAAGAAAAAAATTATTTGAATTAATAAGTTAGCAAGTTTTCTGGCTATAAGATCAATCTACAAAAAGCCATCATTAACATAAAAGTAGAAGATGCAATTAAAAAGAAATATAAATTGGTACTAAACATCATATGAGATGGTAAAGAGACAGGAATAGTCAAAACACTTTTAAAGTACAAGATGGGAGAGTATTTTCTACAGGACTTAATATAAAACTACAATCATTAAGACAGTATGTTATTTGGTGCAAACAACCAATAGAACGAAAAGAGAACAGAAAGTCCACAATAAAAAGCAAACTCCACAAAGACAAAAATCCTCTGTTGTATTCACTGATACACGCATTATTTCTTTGGAATACCTGAACAAGGTTTTCCTTCCTTCTAAGTTACTTCAAATGTCACTGTTAAAAAAAAAAGTGTAAAGTTATCAAAGCTAAATAACTGGAAATACTTCTTGTATCAATAAAATACACAAATTGCCTAAGCTTTTATGAGAAAGTTAGACCTTTGTACTAAAAACAGTTTTTATTAGCATACACATGTAAAGTTAAGTACCGAAATCAGCTACAACGACTGGTATGAGGTATATCATTTGATGAGTATATTATTTTAATTTTCAGGGTTATTGGTACTTCAGTTTTTCTCCCAAAGCTTTTATAAATAACTTCTGCCATTGTTCCAGTGGTTTTCAGAAAACAGAAATGAAAACTGTTATACCTGGCCACAGTCACTTCCTTTTTTGCTCGGCAATGTATGTACTACTTATAAGCCACTTAAAGACAGATTAGTAATTGATACTTATACAACTATTTTGACTTTTTTTCCCCTTTAAAGACTTACCTCCCAGTGCTATGATGTCTTGACTGACTTACCCTGGGTCTTGTCCTAATCAATGGAATCTGATACCCTGTTCATTTACATACTGTCTCGATGCCTGTAACAATACCAGTACTTCCTGACTACAGTCCACTAAAGGTCTATCAGGAAACTTTCTGAAAAGGCTGCCCCTCTCCTGGTCTCCTGCAGTAGTCTCGGTAGCTATAACACACAATCCTCCATTTTAGGAAGCACTGTGAATCTGACAGCCATGATTACAAGTAAGGCCAGAGCAACTTCATAATGATGGGGGCGGAGCCACTTACACTCTATCCTCTCACGCAAACAGCATTGGCTTTATTCAATCCTGGAATGAAATGTCTCAGTTCAAACTAGGGCAACTGACTCTGCAATCCGCTTGATAGGTACACAGTGAAAGTATGAAACAAACAAGGGCATTCATGAGATGAAGTTAAACTTTTTATTCTGTATACTTATACTGAGATCCAGGAGGATGAATCCTGAACAAAACCATTGGATACTGTTTTAAAAAGCCAGCAGAATTTATGACTAACCCTTTTAACATTTTTGTGTTATGTATATGCCCAATACTATCTAAAATTAGGGGAGATCCTTCAAATAGACATCTATTAAAATACACAATCAACACCTAGTCATTTTGCTCTCAAAAAACAACAGAACCCCTTTTCAGTGGTTTCTAACATCAGCTTTTTTTAAAAAAAAAAAAAAAGGAGAGAGAAAGATTTCTTAAAAATGAAGGAGCTTTACTATCTTACTTATGTTGAGCCCACATGTGACATCTTTGGTTAGTAATCTATGCCAAGATGCTACCCAAATATAGCAATACTCTTTTAATCTCTCTATAAATTCTAAAGCATCATTTCATTTGCCAAAATCTGTTGCTAACCTCTGGACCCTATGTAAATGCATGTATTTGATGTTGTGTCCATTGACCCATCCTCCTCATCTCTACATATCCCCAACTGCGAAAAGCAGTCAACTCCAAACTCTTTTCATGGCATCAACTATAAGGGGAAAATAAATACTTTTTGAGCAAGTATATACAGTGTGTGTATATATGTGTATGTATTTATTTTCAAGTTATACAAATGTATATAATATTATAACAAAAACAGCATAAAACAAACACAAAAGAGAAATATCAAAGGAGGTAAAAATAAAACAAACGATTTTTTTTTTTTTTTTTTTGAGGCAGAGTCTTGCTCTGTCGCCCAGGCTGGAGTGCAGTGGTGTGACCTTGGCTCACCGCAGCCCCTGCCTCCCCGCTTCAAGCAATTC